TAAGTATAAGAAATGTATGTATGTAGAGAGGGCAGAAGAGAGGCCAACAAGATCTGGTCTAGTGTACATCGACTGTATTGAAGACTACTTAATCTAACTTTTCGAACTTCTAATAAACATCTTTCTCAACTCAACTTCAACTTGTGATTCTCCGGTTTTCCTTCGACTCTTGTCTAGGCAGAGTCCTTTCCCACGAGATATTGAAAATACCATTACTGATATTCAGTAATATTAGGCAAACGTCCTTCTTGAGATAATTAATTATAATTAACCTGATGACGGCGGAGTAACCAGCCCGGCTACACAACAATTGTTCCCTTTGCTTCCACATCGGCCAACTGGTCCGACCAGCGTACTGTAACCACAGGGTGCCAAAGATGATTTTCTCAGCAATAAATTGCCTGGGATGACCACCCATCACCGTCTAATGCTGAGGTTAAGAATGCGTTCATGTGTCTACATAGCTTGGTGCTTAATTAACCCTTTAATGATGGAGGACATTTAATTCCTACTCACCCTTTGGGGTGGAGGGTATTTAAACATTTAAAACTATAAATGCAACATTTCACATAAAGTGTAATAAATTTGGGAAAACTGGAATTTTGTTTTTTTCTTATTTTCACACTACATTCAGAAATGTGTATAGAATCGGTGTATTGATGCACACTGCTTCAAAATTATTTTTTGTACAGTAAGCCTATAAACATTAGGAATAATGTTATCATATTATCTTAGAAATTCGGCTTGGTGTGTTAGTCGTGAAAACATTCCACACAGTCCCACGTCACACATGTCACACCAGTACATAGTTTTTGACACACAACATGCCGTGTCTGTGGTTTTGATTTCTTTGCAGTTGGTGGAGTCTTGCTTATAAAATTTCATTCTCTTAGATGGGGCACTGTTTTGTCTGACGAGTGTCGACGTAGCACTTTGTGTTCTACAGCATTAGCATATTTCACAGAGAGTCCCTCAGTTAAATGAATTCTGATTGACAATTGATCTGTTCTTTTCCTTGTGTTCTTCCTGCATATTATCATCACATTCAGAAATATTCTTTTTGTCCTTTATAGTTTTTCATATTCTCCAAATGGATGTTTGTGCTTTTCTTGATTCTGTCATTTACCACAGAATCCAGAAAAGCAGAAAGTAATTCCAAATCTGATAAAAGCTTGTTCTGGTTCGGTTTGAAGTAAATATATTCTGCAAACAACATGGCTGGCCACTTTGTTTCTTGCCGCTGGCCTTGGCTAACCAGACTTCATGATGCATATTTATAGAACAAAGGGGAATTACAATAGTAGCATTCATATAGTGAAGTGTTTGTCAGTTCACCAGCTCTGCTTGTTATACTTCAAATCAGACAAGTGGGAAACGTCCCCTCCAGCAGCACATCTACTGTTATGTCACAGCAGGGAAGTGTTTACTGGCCTTTGCTTAGCAGCAGCTTCTCTACTGTTACTTCACAGCGGGGAAGTGTTTACTGGCTTGGGAAATAACACGCAACAACTAGTAGAGCAAACACATATGCAGTCATGGATCATAAGTCAAAGAATTAAAGGGGAAAGAAGTCTCAATTCCCAACACCATGTAGGGACTCTAATGCTGAAGGGTTAAGCAGAGGACGTATTAACATTTCCTCTAATGTAAAAATTACTTGCAATATTTACAAACTTTCAGTGATTGAGTGACGATAGACTGGATTTGGATTGTTAATTGGGTTTATTGGACATGTTAATAGACACAACTCGTGACTGCACTTTACAAATCACTATCACACAGACTAGTGTTCTCTGTCGCGTTGCCCTTCCTCTGGGTTCCTGAGCTGACCCTGGGATCAGCTACTGCAGCACTGCTTCCCACAGTTCCTCAGTTGTGTGCAACACATTGCTTAGCGATGGCTCTGATCTTGTCGCATGCTTACAAAATGGTATCCTAGCAACAGGCGTGTTTTCTGAGCCATTCCCTAGCAGCAGCCGTCTCTCCTGGCTTCAAAGTTCTGACTGTCAGCAGACATGCCACAACACTTTCTTCAAAACCCACAATCCTGTCTGCTCTCAATACCTTACAGTTCACCTCAGTACGGAATGGACCAGAGCTAGTAAATTTAAGATATTAAATTGTTAACAGGAATGGTCTGATTCAAAGTTGCAAGTCACACTGTTATTCATTGGACATGGAGGATCTCATTTTGAACAATTTATGTAAATTCAGTAAGTAGTACAAACATTTCTAATGTATGTTTGCGTGAATTTTACTGACCAGTTAATCAGCATTAATGAATTTGCATGGCCATATTCTAAGTGTAATGTATGTTTAGTGTAAACACATTTTCATCAAATCGTTGGTGTTGGGTGTGTCTGAGATTTTACTCTGTCTGTTCCTTGAATATTATTCTCATTCTTATCTGTCCATGCGCGACTCGGTCAGAATCTGCCAGGTTTCTGTGTTTCTTCTTTCTGCTTTACTTCATAACATGTTTTGGTCTAACCAGTCATCATCATAAGTACAGGGTGTGTTCAAGGAGTCTGGGCTGCTTGCTTTTAGATATATTAGATGCTTCTAGATGTTTCATTCTGATTATGTTACGTCATGCCTTTGTGTCTTAATCATGTGTTTGGTTTATGTTTGTTGAGTATGTTGCGGTTGGTTCTGCATGTTTCCCCGTGTATTTTCTGTCTTTTCTGACTTCATAGCCATGTTTTGAACTGTTTACCTGCACCTGTTGGATGGGAGTAAATTTTCCAGGCGACTACAAATGCTATGCTGGCACCCAAATCTTAGTTATTTATCACCTTTCAGAATGAAGGAATAATATTACTTTGATTTTAATTTTTGTTTGCATGACAGCCAAAGACTGGCATTCCCTCATTATTAAACTGATACCAAAGTAATTACAAATTAACATGTTTATTTTAGGAACATAATGGCCCAGGTAGGAAAGATTTTGATGCAACGCGGTATGTAGAGCACTGGTATTTTAAGTCCACTTGCAGTCAGTATTTTGGCCATGAGTGAATGGTAGTGGTATATGTTGCACAGTTTGTAATGATTTTTTTTTTTGCCTGGCCTCTAAAATGCCTTCTACAATTTTTGGCACTTTTTTCAGCCATGAATGACTCATTTGGTTTCTAACTAAAGTGCAGTTTTTAGGCGCCAGTCACTGTCCATTCCTTTGAAGAGGTTGACCATTTTGTTGTAATCATCTGTTCCAATTATTGAACACACATTTAGCTACATACATTTTAAGGTTGTTTTGAAATATCCTCTTCTGTCTCTTCAGTTTTACTAAACAAGTGTCCCTTTGTATGTTTAGCCCCACTTCCATGTAATGACTACAGGAATGTCATATAAAATTAAGATTTGATTTCCATGGTTCTTTTAATTTACTGTTTACCATCCCACAAGTGTTTTCACACTGACATCTCTTATATTCATCATTTTCAGCTCTAAAAGAAGTGACAAGTTCCTACATAGTTAGAATGTGAAATTTGCTGTTGGTATAAACAAATCTAACAGAACTTTTTGTGGGAGAAATCAGTATTTTTCTTTAGGAACTATTGCCCTTTTTAAATAATATTTTAATGTGACACTATTCATCAAAGAGTTTGTACTCAAAAAACATAGAATGATATTTTGGCCACCAAGGAAGACAAGGAATATCTGTCAGTCACAACGTTTGTTTTCAGTAATTTATGTTTATTGAAATGTTACTGGGCTACATGTTTTGGTCATTTGATCATCATCGGGCCTTATGATAAAATGTGTGTCATTGTTTGTTACTGAACTGCTTACACAACAGATTCATAATGATGTAAAAACAAGATACTGGAGGCGAATGTCTTCTCTTTATCGGCCTTAGATTAGGGTCCAGTGGTGATCACTTGTGAACACAGTAATGAACCCTTAGACTCATTAAAAGGGTAGCAGATTCCTTGGCCAAGTGTGAAATTATTAGATTCTTAACAGTAATTCTTTAAAACATTTTGTTCATCATCATCTGCAAGGGTTGAGCTTGTTGGCCTATTCAGTCCTCAAACGTCTAGCCACAATTTTTCAGGATTATAAGTAACCCTTTTACACTCGAGCTGGTCACCAGCCTTTTGCAAATCTCCCTATCTTGGAGGACCTGGGTTTTTATGCAGGGTTTCCCTCCTACAGACAGGGTGCCTACCTGCCACTTAACCCTGGGAAGGGATCCTGCGAGTCCTGCAGTTGGACTGTCTCTTCTGAGAGTTCCAGCATGTAGCTTTTAAACATTTTGCTTAGGTTTGAATGTTTGTAATTACATACCAATTTTACACAGAACAAAAAGAAAATGTGGGGCACAGAACTGTATAAACAGGCATATAGGCCTCTGTAGCTGTTTCAGGAGGCAGCTTCAGGTATTTTGTCCAGAAATTGCATGTGTTTGGGTTGCTTCTGTAATAATGGATTGCACTGTGCTAAGGGCCTTCTCTCTTGCATGCCAGTGGTGTGGTGAGAACCATTAATGGAATATTAACTAACCAACTCCATGGAGCTGAGTCCTTCTTGAGAAGCCGCCAGTTGCTCAGCTACTCACGAATTTCCCAACATTTTATGGAACCCCACCCTCCATTAGTTCATACCCTGAGTCAGATCAATCCAGTGTATACCACTCCATCCTGTCTAAGAACCATCTGAATTTTATCCTCTCACCTATGTCTAGGTCTTCCTAGTGATCTCTTTCCTTCTAGCTTTCCCACCAGTATCCTACATGCATTCCTCTTCTCCCTGATGAATAGCATAACATATAAATTCATTTTGTAATTTTTAATGGAAAGCTACAATCTAAAAATCATTCTTCCTCTGCTCAGACTACAGCTACAACCCACTTGAAGCTCGAAGGCAAAAGGCTGCTCATGTGGGGGCCCATAGGGTGAAAGGCACGAATCCGAGTGGCCATAAGGCAACTAACACCCTCGGAGTCAGTGGGAAAGTGGCCCATAGCCGCCACAGTCCTGCGACATCAAGGGTAAGTAATTTCACACCATACACTGTGGAACTTCTCTAAATTACTGCTCTTATTCAATGAATTTCTTTCTCAGTATCTTTGAGTGGGGTGGGGCTGATCACCATGTGGCCTAGTGTATCAACCCAGGAATGATGAACCTTGGAACTCACCAGATTCAGATAAATAAACCCACATAAAAGGCCACGAAATAAACTAAATTTTATGGTCATAACAGTTTGTCAGTTGTGTGTGAAGTGAAGGAAAATTCCACAGTTTATATCCAGAATATCAAGTCATGGCAGTGTAACATTTATGTGTGGTGTGGAGGAAATACCATAACCGAAATCCAGAGTATCGAGTCATGGCTGTACAACAGTTATATTACAGTGGCATTATGGTGTTGCATTTGTACATGCATGTGTGTGTGTGTGGGGGGGGGGCTACCTTCTCTATAGGAGATGTAGATCAGCTTACTCTCTGGGTGGCCCCTCTAGTTTTATGGCTCTGTGTGGTCCATGTCATTAAAGGAAAGTAGTCTGTTAGGTCCTGCCAGAACCTCTTGTTTGTATTTTTAAAATGTCAGTGAGTCCTGATAACATAGGGATATTATTGAACATTATATGCAGGGGCCAGGTTTGCAGAGTCTAGTGCAAACCCTCCTCAGTAAGCCTACAGTATATAACTGAAATATGCTAATTTAATAACACATTATTTGATAATATTGAGATAGTATGAGGTTTGCCACAATGCAGCCTCAGTGACCTTAGAAGATTATTTCCTGTTGTTATGTGATCTGTGTATATGTATGTATTAAGATATGTCATGCATAGTTCATATTCAAGAAGTCCCAAGTTTGATTCTCATCTTGAAGGCTTCTTGTCTCGAACAAGATCCTTCCGTGATTTTCCTAAATCCTTCAGGCAAACACCGAGATAGTTCCTTATACATACCCTAATGACATCCTTGCAGATCCTTCCCAATTTGTAGTTTCCATTCGACTTCGAATTCAACACTACATGGTGCATTCAAGTTCTAAGGTCTCCAATTTTTTCCTCACACAATAATCATACAAAAAAATTTCTGTCACTTTTCAATGTAATCTCCCTGCAGCCATACACATTTTTCACAACGTCGATGGCATGATTCCATGGCCACTGTGAACGCTTCTGTAGGAGTCTGTTTTGACCACCGGAAAATCGCTGATGCAATAGCGGCACGACTGGCAAATGTGCGACCACGGAGAGTGTCTTTCATCGTTGGGAAAAGCCAAAAATCGCTAGGAGCCAAGTCAGGTGAGTAGGGAGCATGAGAAACCACTTCAAGGTTGTTTTCACGAAGAAACTGGTGCGTCACGTACGCCCAATGCGCTGGTGCATTGTCCTGGTGAAAGAGCACACGTGCAGCCTTTTCTGGCCTTTTTTCTCGCAGTGCTGGAAGGAGCTTGTTTTTCAAAATATCTTGGTAGGATGCAACTGTAACCGTAGTGCCCTTTGGAACGCAATGAGTAAGGATTACGCCATCACTGTCCCAAAACATGGCCACCATCATTTTTTCAGCACTGACACTTACCCAAAAATTTTTGGTGGCGCTGAGTCTGTGTGCTTCAATTAAGATGACTGGCGCTTCATCTCAGGGTTGAAAAACGGCATCCATGTCTCATCAATTGTCACAATTGATGAAAAGAAAGTCCAATTCATGCCTTCATCATGTGTCAACTTCACCTGGCAAATTGCCATGCGTGCAGCCTTGTGGTCGTCCGCCAGCATTCGTGGCACCCACCTGGAGGACCGTTTCCGCATTTGCAGGTTTTCTTGCAGGATTGTGTGCACAGATCCCACGGAAATGCCAACTTTGGAGGCGATGTTTTCCACACTCAATCGGCGATCCTCCAAAACAACTTTCTCAACTCGCTCAACCTTGTTGTCAGACCGGCTGGTGTGAGGACAGGATTGTTTTGGTTCATTGTCACACGCTGTTCGGCCTTCTTTGAACTGTCGCACCCACGAACGCACATTTTTCACATTCATGACACCATCACCACATGTCTCACTCAACTGGCGATGAATTTCAATGGGTGTCACCACGCAAGTGGAGAAAACGAATGATTACTCGCTGTTCTTGTAACGAAAACGTCGCCATTTTAGGTATCAAAAACACTCCTCACTCTCACCACCACACTAGAATTTTGTGTGCTCTACAGTGCTGCCATCTCTGTCATGCATTCACAAAGAGTGCGCACATATTTTAAACTAAACCGCGTGTGTCTATCTGCTCCCAATCCTGAGAAAAAATTCGGAGACCTTAGAACTTGAATACCCCTCGTATATGTACTATGCAAACTAAGTAACAATTGTTAAATAAGCTGAGAATTATTTCTTTTTTGACACTTACTGCTTTGTATTTTGGATAAAATTGTCTCTTGTATTATTTAGCATTAACTAAGCAAACTGGTAATTCTCCATACCACCTAGGACTAGGCTTTGAAATAAAGGGGCTGATGGAAGCATTGTTTTATTGTTTGCAGATATTCACAAAGGAGGATGTTCGCACCAGTCCATGCCCTCAGTCAATGAATGATGTCAGGGCTGCAGTAAATTGTGACACTGCAACCTTGATGGATGACCAGCAATTGCCATATGTGCAGGCACCTGGTTTAGAAATTACCAGCTTACTAAAGGACAGTGCTGATGTTGCCAGCCTAGTAGAATTTGTTCAGCTGGAGCTCCCAAAATGGGATTTTTTGTTTCAATTAAATTTAATAAATACTTACTATGCGAACTATTAAATAATTAAATTATAATTATATAATATGTAATATAATAATATAATTAAATTAAATTAAATTATAATAAAATTATTAAATAAGCTTAGAATTATTTCTTTTTTGACACTTGCTGCTTTGGATGGAATTGTCTCTTCTATTAATTAGCCTTAACTAAGCAGACTGTTAATTTTCCATACCACCTAGGACTAGGCTTTGAAATAAGGGGGCTGATGGAAGCATTGTTTTATGGTTTGCAGATATTGGCAATGGAGGATGTTCACACCAGTCCATGCCCTCAGTTCATAAATGATGACAGCGCTCAAGAAAATTGTGACTATGTGACGTTGATGGATGGCCAGCAGTTGACATATGTGCAGGCACCTGGATTAGAAATTACCAGCACGCTGAGGGACAGTCCTGAAGTTGCCAGCCTGATAGGTTTTGTTCAGTTGGAGCTCCGAAATTGGGATTTTATGGATAAATTAAATGTAATAAATACATGTTTTAGACTACAGAGTGCTTGTTTATTTGTGTTTAATAATAGATTAAAATGAATAAATAATGTGTCTTTAGCTGTGGCAGTTATTCAGGCAAAGGCCTTGTAGCTCATGGCTAGAATGTTTGCATGTATGTATCTTAGAAAAATTAACCACTGAAAGTCTGCAACNGTTTAGAAACATCAGTATATTTTTTGCGCACAAAATCAAGATGACCATTTTGTAACTCTAAAATAGGAGAAATGGCATAGTCTTACGTGCCTTTCTTATGAGAATTTGTAATAATGTAGTAATTAGTATCAGGAAATATCCCGTTCACATGCAATATGAAATTTTGTCATAAAGTGAAACAATTTTAGCGAGATAGAAGACACCCAGTGATGGTGGTATACAGCTGAATCCTGTAGAGAGGAAGAAGGGTGACTAATGTAATATGTTGCATTTAAGACGGAAATGTACGTTAAATAAATGACAAATTAATTCAATGGGATGCTTAAATTGCTATATACAGGGTGTCCCAGGAGGAATGGACCAAACTTCGGGAGGGTGTTCCTTATGTTAAAGTATGCCGATATAACCCAAAACGCCTATGTCCAAAGTTGAACGGTTACGGAGATAATGGCCCAAGAAAAGTGTGATCTTCTAGCAGGTCCACGGATTATACCTATCAGCTGAGAGGCCTTATCTCTGTTTGTCCTTGAGTGCCGTGATTCACCCTAGCTGTGCTTATGTAGTTGGCTTTATCAGAACGCGCAGTCAGCACGTTACGTCAGCGCTTGCCATTCATGTCCCATGTATAGTGCTTGGAAACCCTAAGGACAATTATGACATGGCGAGCGAGTATTTTGTACTTCAATTTTATGGCTTCATGTCACTCACAAGTTAGTTTTATGTCACGTACATTATTAACATTACAGAATCCACATATTCCTGCCAGTTTTAATATGTATTTTGTAATCAACAAGTGTGCAACGCCGGTCAAAGTTTGACACTTCTCTGGCCATTATCTCCGTAACCGTTCAACTTTGGACATAGGTGTTTTGAGTTATATCGGCATACTTTAACACAAGGAACACCCTCCCGAAGTTTCGTCCATTCCTCCTGGGACACCCTGTATATTACATACTTCAAAGAGAAGTACTAAGAAGACAAATGAAAATCAATCACAACACTCAAATCGATAGCTGCGCTGATACCACCTTACTCGCCAATGGACACCAATGATCAACGATATTGATTTTAAAAAATCTTTTCCCAGCCAGGAAATAGAATAAATAAACTGAAATAAATAAAAGTATGTTATCATATCTACAGGAAAATACATATAGAAAAATGAATAGAAGTGTATATTTTCAGAGCTACACAAACTAATGTTCACGACCAGTGGGGATGGAATGAGTTAACCTAGATGTAGGGTTCTTGACTAGTAGACTATAGTGAAAGGGGAAATATACAGCCATGACATGATCGCATGAAACACAACTTAAACACCAAAGTTGAAGGCAGTGTGTATATCTGAAACGTCAGTATGCTCCTAAGAGACCAAGAAACATGATTCCTCAAACTTCATTGTTGATGCTGGTAGCATTAATTTTTCCCCTAAGATGAAAGAATTGTAGCCCTACCACAGATCTGTGCAACGATAAACTGTGCTCAAGACTTTGATTAGTTTATGCAGAAGCCATTATAGGTAGCAGCTAGGCTGACAAAAATTTGTCAATTCACTGTTGGGTGATGTTCCCTGAACTTAATTTGGGCTTTTAGTTACCTGATTACTTCACAACGCTAAACAGCAGTTCTTCTCCATCATTACATTTAACACCAATAGTATCAGGGGGATCACAGCTATCAGTTCCCAAGACCTTTATCCTACACCCACAAGCACAAGATTGCTAATTCGAATGAGTTGAACCAACCAACCAACCAGCCATTGTACCGATCTGCTTCGCAATTGGGTGATCAATAAACCAATGAATGAGACTACTATGTAGCAAAACTGTATGAAATATACTACTCTAATTTCGTTTTGTTCTATAAATTCGTATCATGAAGACTGGTTTTAGCATCCAAGGCCATACATGAGCAGCGAAGTTCCTAGCTGTGTTTTGTCGTGACCATTGAAGGACATACTCGTATTTACTTCAAACCAAATCAGAACAAAGTTTTATGAGATTTGGAATTTGGCACTGAAAATGGATGTTTATGCTTCTCTCGATTCTGTGGTAAATGAGAATTGAGAAAATCACAAACCTGAAGGTTCATTACCGTGTTGACAAGAGCCTTCCACTGGTCCCTATCCTGAGCCAGATCAATCTGATCAATACCATCCCAACCTATCTCTCCAAGGTCCATTTCAATATTATCCACCCACCTATCCCTTGGTCTTCCCAGTGGTTTCTTTCCTTCTTGCTTTCCCACCAATTTCCTATACGCATTCCTCATCTCCCCCATTCGTGCTACATGCCCTGCCCACCTCATTATCCTTGCTCTTATATCAATAGCTGAATATAAAGGTTGCAGTAATGCTCGAGTGACGTCACAGCGGCTACTTGTCGAATCATAGAGATACCACGTCATAGCACCTAGTGTCAAATTTGTGGTGCAATTAGTTTTGCTTGAGTGAAGCCTGATAGTAATAGTAAGAAGAGGAAGAGAGTTTTATTAGAAGTTCCCACGATTTAAGAAGCGTGAGAGAAAGGAAGGGTATATATTACATGCTTTGTCTTGCATTGATGTGTTAGAATGTGATTTTGTGTGCATGCAATCAGTCCGTAAAGCACATATTAAATATATCGGTGTTGACAATTATGTAGAAGATGAACAACAAATAATTTCAGATTTCATAATTGCTAGGGTAGTAAATAACAGTAGGACCTACTTTGCGGTGATACACTTCAGGTGTTGGGCACTAAAATTTATGAATGCCCTGATACACATTACGGTTGCCATCCCAGGCCCACAAACATATCACCAGTTGATCATTCATAAAATGCAAACATAAATAACGAAGTATAGAGCAGCTCTCATCACAAAAATATATTGCACTTTATAAATGGAAGCTGTGGTGTAGATGTACATCTGTTGCTCCTGCCAGGAATCAAATCTTGACTGTGAAGTCTGTAGCCAGTAGCTGACCCAACTCCTACTGTTGGAAATCATACACGGAAAGTGATCACTGCACTGTGTGATCATTATTTGTATCTCTGTTAGTCTCACATATAGATTGAAGCATTGGAAGGAAAATGAGTATTTCAAGTTGAGACCAGCCAGTTCTTCTCAAGGCTATACAGTGTGCGTTCAACTAGTATAGGTGACGTAAGGAAGCTTTGTTTTCATTTGTTGTGTAATACGGTAAACCCCTTTACACTTAGAAAAACCAGTATATGTTAACACTCTAACATGTAATTCATCTACGTATTCGTGTAACCGACAGATGAGGTTATGACTTTAAGATAAATGAAAGAACAATTACAACTGACCATATTTGCACACTGATGTGACAGAATATGTCCATCTTGCTCAAAGCCCAAATTGAGACTGCTTAGTGTCACAGACATTAAGTCAAAGCATCCCTCTTTGTTGCTTTGAAAAGAAAAGTTTTAAATTTACGGCTTCTAATTGGCTATCGGCAGTAAGGTGTACATAATTGTTGACTGCATAAGCAGCAATCCCTTTAGAATTGGGGCACATTCCTCTTTACTGTTCATGGTGCATACTGGGCTGTTTCAGGATCTGCCTCCTCGCACCTCAGAGATCAGAAGAAAACCAGGCGCTCCCTCGTAGTGTTGGTGAGAGCTTTTAGTTGGCGAAAGGAAAGCAGAAGGATATACGAGGGGGTACCCAAAACAAACTGAACTTATTTTTTTTTTTTAACTTATTTATTCAAATTTTAAGCACAAACCTTCAATCCCCTTCAAAGTACTCTCCACTTACACTAATACACTTGTCTAGTCTTTTATTCCATTTTTCAAAACATTGTCTAAATTCATCTTTTGAGATGCTTGACAGTGCCTCCGTCGTTTTTTCCTCTCATGTCTCTTTTCATTCGAGGAAACAAAAAAAAGTCGCACGGGGCAAGGTCGGGTGAGTATGGAGGGTGAGGAACAGGGGTCATACCATTTTTGGTCAAGAATTGTCGTACAGACAGGGCTGTGTGAGCAGGGGCATTGTCATGATGGAAAAACCAGTCACCCGACTGCCACAAATCTGGCCGCTGAGCTCCACTGAACTCCCGACAGCTCCACAATTTCTTCAATGGTCCGTCATCGATCTTCCTTGATGATTTCATGAATTTTTTCAACATTTTCATGTGTTCGGGCCGTGGAAGGACGACCAGAACGAGGTTTGTCATCAATTGACATTTCACCATTTTTGAAACAGGAAAACCACTCAAACACTTGAGTTTTCCCCATAGCATTGTCCTTGTATGCCGTTTTTAACATTTCAAGAGTTTCTGTTCCACTTTTCCTGAGCAAAAAGCAGAATATCACCGCCGTACGCTGTTCACGAAAATCAGCCATTGCAAAAACGACGATCACACAAAACAGTTGTCA